TCATACGACAGGTTCGCAAAGGAGCATACAGCCTAAGAGACACTTCGGGTAGACCTCTTCCGAGGCCCTGGAATGCCGACAGTCTAAAAATATATTACAAGTAACATTCCCGACGCCGTTTAGAAGATTTTCTTTTTCTGCATGTTATTTTTGGTTCTTCGGGCCTGCGTGTCCTTGCATTTTATTTCTAGTTTAGCGGGCCTGCGTGCCCATGCGTTGTTTTCCGTTTCCTTTTGTAATGAACTACGTTCGTCTTGATCCCGTTTGGGTACGTAGGCAGCTTGGATACAATATAAATCCAAGTCCAGTCCAAACAATTAATAAATCCAAACCCCGGGTATAACAGCCCGATAGTTTGCTTTGCATCCAGCAAGCCCCCTTAAGCCTTGTCCTTGACAAGCCAATATAAGCCTTGCCCTTAAGCAAGCCTCCTTAAGCCTTGTCCTTGACAAGCCAATATAAGCCTTGCCCTCGAGCAGGCCCCCTTAAGCCTTGTCCTTGACAAGACAATATAAGTCTTGCCCTCGAGCAAGCCCCCTTATGCCTTGTCCTTGACAAGCCAATGTAAGCCTTGCCCTCGAGCAAGCTGTCTAAAGCCTTGCCTCGAGCAAGCACCAAAATCTTGGAGCTCATAATCAGCACATCAAAATAGTGCAGCACAAGTATAAATACCGAGGACATACATCCCGACCATATATCCTTGTATTTTTGTCCGAGGCTAGAAAGTGAAAGCTCGGGATAAACTTATATACAGAGGTTGGTCACAATTATTCGTACACCTCGGGGACTACCATCCCTTGAAATTAATCCTCGAGTGTTACGAAAACTACATCCTACACTATCCTCGGCATTATCACTTGTTTGAAAATTTCAAATTGAGTTATTCTCAATCATCAAGATGATTAATTAGTCGTCGAATTAATTACTCTTCTTTAGTCGTCAGGGGGAATTGTCTACGTGCTCGAGGTTCACACTTAGATGTTCCAAGATAATTTTATTGTTTAGTCCTCGAGGTAAAACTTGTTTAATGCTCGGGTTCAACACATGTTCCCAAATTATTATTTTACAGTTTGAGTCCTCGGGATTAATTTTTGTACGTTATAATGTTCAGAAATATTCACAAATTAGGTCCTCGAGATGTTTTAACTATTCTAGGCGTCGAGTTATTTAACCATCATACGTCGGGCTATTTGAGTTTGTCATGATCGAGATATCAATACACAGTAAGAAGGAAAATACTTGATCGAGTAAAACACATGTTCAAATTACAAAAAGAAAGGTAAAAACAAAAACTAATCTAAGTCCTCGGCCCTTTCTCCCGAGGCTGTGTTCCCCTGCTCCTCCACTGCGTCCTCGCCGTCAACGTCGACCCACGGTCCTCGACGGTTTCCTCGAACTCTGAAAGCTCGAGAGCATCAGCAATCTCAGGGATGTTCTTTAAATCCTCGGATTTAGCGTCGGGCTTTGATCTAAAAAATGCCCGAGCTTCCTTAAAGGCATGGAAGTACGAGCCCATGGCGTACTCTCCCTTAAGGCCGTTAAACTCCTCGGACACTTTGAAGTCCTCAATCGCAGCCCCCCGAGCTTCAGCCAGGCGATTCTCAAAATCTATCTTCAAACGCTCGATCTCGAGCTTTAAACATTCGGCCTCGCCCTTGGCAGTTCCAGCCTCTTCTCGAGCTCTCTGGATATCCCTCTTTGAGTCCTCGAGCTCCTTCTGAAGAAGAAAGCGCTCAGCCTCCAAGTCTGCTATCCTCTTCTCCTGTGCTCGCGAGGAGT